TCTTGTGATCGAAAAGGAAACAGTAAATATAATTCAAAAAATTCAGTTTCATACTTCTCAAAGAGTTATTCAAAAGATTTCAAAAGAGGCTATTAACATTTGTTGTTCATAACATAGATAACAAAAAAGAGCATGTTCAGTCATATTTAATGAAGAACATTTAAATATTTATTTACTAAATATGGAGATTTTTCTAATGAGAAAATTATGTCTTGAAATCTCTTGTTTATACGTGTAGTGATCGACATATTCAAACAGAAAGTAATATGTGAGAAAATTTCTTCTTGCCGGAAAAAAATGCTCTTTACGATTTATTTGCAGTGAAATAGTTGTAGTTCAATAAAGTACTCTAGTATTGAATAGTTATAAAAAGAATGACCTAATGCATTACTTAATATCGATAGATGAACTATAGATTTTGTACATCAATCTACCACAAAAAGCATTCAAATTTTATTTTCTATCGAAATCAGCTTGATATTTGTCTTATTTTCTTTCTGTCAGCTATCTTCATCATTTTGAGTTGGTCACTAAAATACTGAACAGATGTAGCTTTCTTTTGCACTAGGACTCATATTTAATATTCTATTTATAATTGAGATGATATCAAATGTTAGTTGACATTGAGAATGAAATTATTCTGCGTGATTGATCATGTTCGACTTCGAAGACTGAACATGAGGTTAACTCGACGAACCTATGAACGTTCCTAAAAGAATCAGTACCTTCAGATCTTCTTCCTCTTTCTTCAATTGTAGCATGTCTGCTGAAATGTCCCTGTATAGTACAATGATACGAGTTTAAACTTTGTTCATCGATAGTTAAACTGAAGATTAGAATTCTCTAAAAATTGCAACCTAAAGGGACATTTCATACATTCGATATTGAATTTCTAAAACTACTCGTCTTCCACAAAAAGTGCAACTATCTCGTATTTTATTTTTTGTGATGTAATATCTTACGCATCATATGTTTTCACGAGTTACCGTCATTACCAGGACATTTTTAGTCACAACCATGCTTATCGGTGAACCAAGATGGATTGTGCAAAAGAAATTTAATTAGACGACTCCTAGTTTTTATGATCTACTTCATTCCATCAAATTTAAATCAATATATTTAGCTACTCTATTTAGCGTTTACGCTGATTGTTCAACAACTAGTTTTATCAAAGAAAAGAAACTGACAGAAACGTTGGTATTACTAATGCGATCGAAGTTTTACGATGTCAAAAAGCATTTCATTTTCTTCAGTCAAAAAACCTTTTCGACGTGAAAATTGCTTAACACATTTATTGTTTGTTTGGACTTACACTTGTCTTCTTATTTAATAGTAAGACGTTTTTACTCAGTAATGCTCACAAAACATCACATCAATATACGTGTCATACAACTATTCTTTGTAGTTTTGTTATTTCGTGAAGAAATTCACTTCTGGATGTTCTCAACTATCGGACGAACAATAAGTTCCATCAACATACTATTCGGATATTATAATGAAACCTCGTCATTTATTTGCAACTCTGAAGTGATCAAGTAACAGGTAGGTATCTGGATCATAACAGCGTGCTATCTCTAATCTTTTTTGTTATCCTAGTCTCTGAGGGGACCCAAAAAGAAACTGCTCGGTGAAAACAAATGACAGTTAGTTGACTAAATTAAAAAAAGAAGTGTTTCCATATTTAATGAGCAAAACCTCATATATATGTATTAACCAAAAAAACTTCCAACTAAGGCTTGAGAAGAGTTTATTACTGAATTTTTCAAGTGCTAAAGATTTTTCAACTTGAAAAATTGATCGTTTAGAAACATTCTTAAATGATATTATGCGAGGAATATCAAAGCATTGTAGTCATTTAAATTAATTAGATGGAAACATTTTGTTAAAACATCACAATATACGATAAATATGATTAACTTTATTTCGTTAAACAAAACAAAACAAGTCATACGGATGATTTCTTTGTTGCTTTAAAATTTCTTAAAAGAGCTATCAAATTAAACTGTGAAGTATTTTGTGATTTCCTGGCCATTCTCAAATTGAATCTGTCTTGAACGACTGGATTATAATAATAATTCGTTACGTTTTATTTTCATATCTATTTAGGTTGCAGTATTTGATCGAAAAAACATTATGAAACTATTACCACAAATGTTACTTTCGATATGGCCTTTCAATTTGGATATAATTCAATTGAATCGACCATGGACAAATTGTATGGGTATGCTGCTGTAACCTACTTGATATGAGCAGTCATCCTTTTGGGCTCAATTAACTTGCTATAATTAGAAAATTTATGGAAATCCCTGCAAAGTTGAAGCAATGATGGCCTAAAAGTATTTATTCTGTTGATATTTTTCGTATGTTGTTGAAGGCACCTCGAGCGGAAGACTTTGAAATAAGAGAAAAAGGGAAAAAACGTACGTCATGCCACTTCTAGAGAGTCTCCAAGCTATCCTTGAGAACTACTTAACTATTCCAACTGTATTATTAATCATGCATTGTGCACATATCATTGTGAATTTTTTTTTTCTATAGGAGTCTATTTGACATTAAAACCTAAATAACTCATCAAGCATCAACATTTAAGAAAGAGTCAACTACGATAAAGCATTCAGACGTCATTGTTAGAAAAAGAGTAGAGGTCTACGACATGAACACCAGCTAATATGCACATAATAGATGCTAATATTAGACTGAAAATATCTAAGAATTTGTGAACTATAGTTTTGACTTAGCCTTGAAACATATTTGAATAGAGAATGCTCACTTTTTCCCTAGGTTCTAAAACCAAAAAATGATTAATCATTTCGAATATTTCCCTGGTGAGAGGTCCAAAGTTCACATTTACTTTTTCTACTTCCCAAAGCTATTGGCACATAGAAAAGACATTTTTCTTTCTATATTGATTAAAGTCTATTCATTTCAAACATCGTAAGCTATTGGTGAATTTATGCAAAAGTATTTTTCTATATAATTTTCATCGTTTACTTAAAATTTATTGAATAGATAACTTTGATATTCTCTGAAATATGTCTATGTATTCCACACATTTATTTTCCTCCATCATTCTATTTGATTCAAGAGATTAAAATCAACATTTAAGATCTCAATAGTGTATATTTTCATAAAAACAAATAATCGAACGATCTTATAACACCGTTGCTTTCTTTTTCTTATCGTGAACAAAACGAGATCTTAAATTAAAGCAAAGAAAAAACATAAAATGACTCATACATCTACTGTTGAACACATTACGAGCAATGCCTACGTCTTCCTTGAAAAAAGTGTCCTCCAATGATTAGACTTCTATGACGTTAGTTTATTCGTTTTTATCATATTCTATATTATTATTATATTAAAAATTACGCATAATTACAAGTTTACTGTAATTCTTAGGCTTGCTGAATCATAAGTCCTGATAGCTGGCAAACAACATAACAATCCCACACTGAATCAATATTTGAACATTTTATTAATAGATGAAAATATGTCTAGATAGTCTTCATTTTCTTTCTGTTTTAGTACTAAAATGAGTGAATAGAGATGCTTTTAAAAAATGAACCTTCTTATTATCAATTAGATTTAGAAATATGAATCTTTTAATCGTACAAACTATCAAATAAATGCATGAGAAAATTCCTAAAACTAAAACAAGTTAATCATAATCAGTTACTTCTCCGACTAGCGCTTTTATTAAGTTCAGCATTATTTTTTTCAAGACGTCATTTAATTAATCGTATGTCATACTAAAAAAAGCTTCGACATAAATTACTGCTAATAGTTATCGTATGTGAACACGTAATAGATCAAATACTATTAAGACGGTTAAACATTCATCCAATCTGGATAGATTTTCCTTTTCTCTTTCTTCTTCTTCTTCTTCTTCGATTCTCTTCCTTATTTAGCTTAAGCGACTCTTATCTATCGAGCAAATTCAAGTAGTCTTTCGATGATACGATCTAATTCTTGACGATGAAATAGTCTAGATTAGTTTATGCCACATGCCGCCAATCGAAAAATAGCATATAGATTTGCTCGATTATTTTCCATTCATTCAACCATAATAATAGGTTGAAAACGGATTTTATTCATCGCAATTGTAAGTATAGAATCACAGTTAGATGCTAGAGATGAATATTAGAAGAAGAGAATCGTAAATTCTATGAATTTCTTTTTATTGAACTTGTCAATATTGCATAGACATATGGGATTAGAGAGGGGGAAAAGGATGAAATATATTTCGTCGTCAGCTTTAATTATCTTTGCACTATTCTTCACCTATCAGATAATGTCATCGATCTATGATAAAAATCAATTAATATAAACTGAAGAGAAAAAATACCCGAACATAGGTTATCTTTATTTCGTAGTATTAAAAGTAAAACATTATTTAATCTTAATATACCAAATAAGATTGTATATACTCTGATTGATTAAAATTAAATAGCGTATATCGTGTTACAACTTTGATGCCTTGAAATTGAATTAGCTCACGTAATCTGACATTGTCTGTAAGTAGTGTCAAAAAAAGAAAAAGATTCTTTCATGTGACTAGTCAGTGATGATATAAGGGTTTCGCAGTTGCCTATCAAAGGAATTACTAGAATTAGCAGTTGTAGAAAAGAGAGAAATCAATACAAAATTAATAGTAGGATCCCTGGCGATTTGTTGTCAAAAGAAAATTGGCACATTGAACAAACACTACTTTGTTTCTATCATGATCAAGCAAGTTTCTCTTTTTTTTCTTCTATACATCGACGATAAAAAGCACAAGTCTAGATACGTATGTATGTATTTTGAACGAACGAATAAACCGGATATTCGACGAAATCATTTGCGTGAGGATAGATGGCAAGTAGGTTGTTGTACAAGAAGTGACTTCCGTCTTTATCCCGTTGTTCTCATTGGATTATTGATCTGATATTCTGAAATGTACCCATATGTGAAACTCATGAGAATAAAAAAAAAGAAATAAAAATAGTTATACATTTATTTAGATGGAATCATTTTTGCAACGTATGTCGTCACTTGTTACGAGAACTAACAATAAATTTATCGAAGAAGATATCGATGAAATTGAAAATGATCAACAACGAAGATTTAGTTATTTACAACAACGTCGATGTTCAGCACCTGATATTCGTCGACGTGGTGCTACAATGGATCGATTAACTCGAGTATTTGATCATAAAGGCACTTCTGAAGAACAAATTACAAACCATTTTTCCTCAAACATTTTTCCTCGAAAGCATTACAATTCTATCGGTAAGTTAGGTGTAATTGGTTTTTGCAGAGTTAGTTTTTATATTTATCGACAATGCCAACAAACATTGTAACAAAGATAAATTTTGATAATGAAGGCAATTGATAAAAAAGAAAAGAAAATAATATCATTTTGTTAATATTCAACATATTCAACAACATAAAAATAAACATGATCGATCAAATTTAGTTGTAGATTAAAGAAAGTGTAATCTATAGTATGTGAGGTATATTCAGATTTCCAAAAAAAGGAAATTACCGAAATTTCCGAGAACGTAAACTCACAGAAAAGTATTTTTAAAAAGATTGGGGATTAAAGAAATTTCGGAAATTTCAGAAATTACCAAATTTTTTAAAGTAACGGATCTTTCAGATGAATTACTTTCAAAGTTTCCGAAATTTCCTTTTGTGGAAGTCTGAACATTGCTATACTATGTCGCATATTGCTAAAATATAAATTCTAGCAAAAAACTTTCATTATAATGAGCTCATTTACTATTTAAGCATCGTGATCATTTTCATTCTACTTTTCTTCTAAAACTAAACTACGTAGAGCACATGAAGATGACTTTTATGTCAAGTGTTTCAAGACGGAAATCTGTCAATATAAATCCGTTTGTTCTATGTCGTTTACAATATGAAAAAGAAAATATCAATGAATTTATTTATTTTTCACACATGTTATACGTCATTTTCAAATATGATAATTAGATGAATAAAATGATTGTTTTCCATTAATAAAGTAATTCAGAAGGTCATTCATATTTTGACGTCATGAAGAAATTTATCATTTTACAATTTTTTGAAAGCTTTTATCATTTTCTTTCCACACTCTCCATACATAAACAACAATAATGACGCTTTTCATCACGTTTTCTTAATGTGAATGAATACAATAGTCTCTATTTTTCTCGGGGAAAAATACAGTTCAATTGGTTTGTTATTACCTAATTATGTGCTGTTATTCATAGAAAATCTATAATCTAATTAGAGTATTTTCTTGTATTATTTCCCAAAGTCCCATTGTTACATTAAATCACCGAAAAGAAATAGCAACTAATGCCGATGCAATATCTCGTTTGGTTCCGTCGACAAGAGTGTCCCACAAATTACTTATTCATTCGTTTTCCTTTTTTGTCATAATCGTCATGTTTTCTTTTTCTCCTTGTCTCAATTCTCAACTATAAATATCTACATAGAATTCATAGTTTATCTGTTTCCGTATTCCTTTTTCGTATATAAACAGATCTGTATCAAGGCATTGATTGCAAAGCATTTGTACATATTTTTTTACTATTGTTATTTTCATTCACGGAAGTAGAATGCGTAATTACATGTTGTCGTTCCTATCAAATGACAGAATTGAATTAGCGAGCAGAAAGTGACATAAGTAGCCACTTTTTAGTATCACTGGCAATCTTGAATAAGATCATATTTTTGGCGCTGATCGCTGCTCTATAAAGTTTCAAACAGAAAAGAAAAAGAGGTGCCAACTTATGTAAAGAAAAGGAAATGAAGGCAAAGAAAAAAAAGAAAAGAAATATGGAATGTAAACGACGATGAAGCCACATAGGCAAGCAATTTAGTCTTATTCTCGTTTGAGCGTAGTCCGTTCTCGTCATGACTATTCAGTTTGTTTCCTCTACGATTATTTCTTATTATTCCTCCAACGGGAATTGAAGTAAGAGAGAAAAACCGATGGAAAAGAAGTATGATAAAATAGAATAAAGAGAAACATCGTAGGCTAGCATAAAAACAGAGAGAACAAATCATCATTTTCGTTCTCTTACTTTTTTTCACTTAAGTCTTACACCTACGTAACTAGACATGAAAGACAAACATAGAAGTCTCATTCAATATTATTAGTATTCTATTGAATTCTCAAATAGCTATTTTCATTAGTGAAGATCATTCTACAGAAAACAAAAGAAATACCTTCTGTAAAAACATTTATTCTTGTATTGTTTGACAAACAAATATGGCTAAGTTGGGTTCGTTTTTCCGACGTTTACTTATTTCAATTGCTTCTGATAATGATTGTTCATCATCATCATCATCCTCATCAGTTCCTGTTTCTCAAAACAATGTAGTAGCTGTTCAACCATTAACAAAACGATCATCAACAAAATCTGACACAATAACAATAACAACAACAAAGTCACAGTTAACTACAAACATTAGTCAATCATGTTCAACGTCACCTCATGCTATGATAAAACAAACAACAGCACAAGCTGATAGTAATAGAAATGAGAGCCCAAATTTAAATCTTCTGTCATCAAATACCAATAAATGTTTTAATCGTCGTCTTAGTGCTCCTCTTATTACCCATGCATCAATTCATCATTCTCGTCTATATCATTCGGGGGTAGTCGATGAAACCATTGAACAAGCACTAGTTTCCTCGTTACAACGTCTCTCATTGTCATCGACAACAGGAACTACTACTGCCTATAATAATAATCATCATAATAGTATAAACAGCTTAGATGCTAGTGGTGGTGGTTCTGTAAATGGATCACCACACAATGATGCGCATTCCTCATCGCTCAATTTATCATTATCAAATTCGATTTTTTCGCCTAGTTCATTAAATCATATTTCATCAACATCTGGTGGGTGTAAGAATATTGTTTTTATTCATCATCTATACTCTTTATACATTTATCATTGATCCTACTGTTAATCGAACTTTTAAAAAACAATGTGGTCTACATTGTAAAAGAAGCTATCATTGTTGATTAAGTTAAATCGATATTGATTGCTTATTTCTTCTTTCTTTTGATTCTAACATGTCGTATGATAAATTTAAGGATGTAACTTAGCAAAAAAAAAGTAGAGAGACAGAAAGAAAAAAGTAGAGAGACAGAAAGAAAAAAGTTCAAGATAATGGAAATTTATATTATTCTTAGCGTTTATTTTGTTCTTGAGTAAGACGAGTTCCTTTCATTATATTGACCATATATATATATATATAGAACTTCAAAGAAAAATGATGATTTTTACATTAAAATAGATCATACAAAGAATAATAGAGGCGGAAATTACAATTGTGTGAACCAAGTATTGAAAAATATCAAAAGAAAGCGAAGATGAAGAAGAAAAACTACCTTGTAATTATTTTTACCGGAAGAAATGAACATTATATATATTGAGTGACAATCTTGATTTGATGTTTTATATGAATTTGATTGCTGACATTGACTAGATATATATTCATCAGTTTAGTCCGCCTTAGGAAATATATTAAAAGAATTCAGGAGACTGATACCCCGCCCTCCGTCCCCCTATTATCATTCTATTTCAAACATAGCTGAAAAAAGAAATGCTATTTTTAATGAAAGAAAAAAGATCTCGATTGACCTCATGTAGTAGATTATTTCACAGACATAGTCAATGACTTGTAAATTTTGATTCGGTGTCAACCCTGTCATTGAATTATACTAAAATTCATTATTATTTATTTAAGGGATAAAATCAGGAAGTGAAAAAAATGATAAAGCAACTATATATACTTGATTATTCATCGAAGAGTGTCATGTGTATTTATTTATCATTATTTGCGTGAGCAGAAATCGGGAGCAAAACATATTGATAAGAATCGGCAATACACTCTAACGTTTCTTTTTTCTTCATGAATATGAACATATGCATCTTCATTTCATTAGACATAACAATCTGAGAACGAGAACGGCGAGGACGAGAAAAGCTCATCAAAATCTTTTTCTGTTTTTTGTCATTTCTAATAAAATTTGTGCGACATTCAGTACTAAATCGGACAAGAGTGTTTTTTTATATATTCATCAATTTTTTATTGATAGGCACACCACCAACACAATTCGCCATTGGCCCACCATCATCCTCATCACCACGTGTTAGTATTCAATCCAATAATTCAGCATCGCCCAATAGTGGTATGAAAAGATAATTTAGAATGATTAATATAAATTTGATAGTATTTCTAATCTAGATAGAAATATGTCTTCACAAACACGAGGACGACGCCCATCTATGTTTGATCCAATAGATCCGAAAGAATTACAACAAGCATTATATGCTTCAGCAGCGGCTGTAAGTTGACTGCATACTATGAGTATCTAGATAGTAGTAAAAAGAGAATCATCTACCAGAATCTTCTTATGCGTTCGATCGATGTGTCATTAGATTCTTGTATTGATTTTTATCATCAAAACAGAGAATATTATAATTAGAGAGAATTATTCTCAATGTCAGCTTTCTTCTAGTAGAATGAGTTTTGCAAACAAATCATACGACTTAGTAATATATATATATATATATATACTATCTAGAAAAATATTAATGCAATAAAGTCTTATTTCGATAAAAAAGAAGAAGAACATTATTGTATGTTGCTTTTTATAAATCAATAGCAATCTACTTCAATTAATCGAGACATTTCTATCAGTTTGTTTTTTTTCAAGATTTTGCATTGGTCTATTTCTTTAAACAATTATTCCCGTATAGAGATGTTATTAGATATAAATTCGAAGTCAATAAACTTTTCTATTAATTTCTTCTATATGAAATATAATCAAAGAAATAATTGAATCATAGTGAAGGTCTTCAATTTTTAGTAAACAAATATATAGTTACAATGCTATTAATTTCTTTCTTATTAATAGAAAGCAAATCTTCCATTGAATCCATCAAATGAAGATGATTTAACTCGTCCATTAGCTCGTATTACTATCAGCTATGATCGACATAGTGAACATGTTTTTATTGATACATTATCATTTGAAAACTTACAAACGCTTGATTCCTATACTAATAATAATAACAACAACAATAATAATGATTATGTATCATTTTATTGTCGTTTTCGATTATTACCAGAAAAACGTACTTTATTTCAAACAAAAATTGTTCGTGTAACACGTGTTCAAGCATCGTATTTATTTGATAAAAAACAATTACAAGAATTTGAATTATCCTATGATCAATTAATTAATCATTCAATTGAAATATTTTTTTATAAAATAAATACAACAAAACCTTTATATAAAGATATTCGTATAGCTACAGTTAAATATGATTTAAATCAATTATCTGAAATGGATCAAACTCGTATGAAAAAAACATTAGATGAATGTGATTCATCATCAATCATACAGGTTTAAATAGATTTAGCGCTTCGTTTCAATCGAATATTGAAATTTTTCTTTATGTTTCTATAGGATCCTGATTTAGGCGAATTACTTGTCTCTCTATCTTATTTACAAAGTGCGGCTAAATTATCAATTGTTGTTATTGAAGCAAAAAATTTACGACCATTATCCATTGAAACTAAGTCATACCCAGATGCTTGTGTTAAAGTTACATTATATGATCGTAATGGAAAAAAAATGAAACGTAAAAAAACTAGTGTACAACGTACATCAGATTGTCCAACATTCAATGAGGAGCTTGTTTTTGAATTACGTCGTGATGTTGCATCTGAAGTTACTATTGAATTACGTATTGTACATGAATCTTTGTCATATAAAGAACAACTTGGTTCAGTTGTATTTGGTCCAATTGTTAATCATATGGGAAAAGGACCAATCTATCCAGAAAATGTTTATTGGTCAAAAGTATTATCTGGTCAATCGCTTAATGCACAATGGCAAATATTAAAACCATCGATAAGAATTGAAGAGTCAAAGTGATATATAAAAGATTCTTATCTTTTACGTTTTGAGATAAAAGAAAACGTACAATATTTTTATTGTATGTGCGTAATGTCTAGTCATGGTCTTTGTCTTTTTTTTTTTAAATAAATGATGTTCTTAACAATATCTATTATCTATCTATATACGTCTATATATAAATCAATTTTTTAGTTGACGATATGACGTAAGATGCAAAAGAAGTTATTTATAGCTAATCTTACAAACGCATGATTGCGCAAATATTGATGACAACTTTTCGGAAATGAAAGTTTCTAAATATATTTATAAGTTATTAGTTGTTTAATTTGACATGTGCACTCGCATGAAAAAGCATTATATAGAAATGAGAAAAATAATATTTCTAGTACATAAAACATATGTAATTAAGCATGAAAGTTAGGTTTCAACGATTTTGTTTTCATCATATAGAAAGAGAAGTGCGATAGTTTACGACTTATGAACTTCGTATTCAATTAAATATCGAATAAAATATAAAGCGATTAGTCAAAAAGAAAACGAATTATTTTTTACTAATTTTATCGGTGAACCTATAATTTTCAATAATCAGCTTAAATTTTATTACAAGTATGAGCCGAAGAAACAATTATGGGATAAAAACGCTCAACCGTTGGTATTTTATCCTTTTATTTAATTAATGATGTAAAGTTCTGTCTTCAATATTATGTTAAAATAAAATCTCAGCACGTTTTTCAATGAACATAGTTGAAAAGGAAATATTTTTTTCTTTTTCTGTTCTGTTCTTTTATGACATGATAGATAAGCTTTTTACTTCCATTATCTATTCGAGAAAATAAATAGCAGGTTGTCAATCATCATCAAATGTATTCATGTCACTTTGCTTTCAAATAACATGAATTATATTAGTTAACTTGAAAACTCAGTTATTGATGGGAATACGTAATAGGCTTTTTTTTAAATATTTAACCAGTAATCACTATTGACAGTCGTCAGTCCTTGTTTGAATATGAAAGATGTTTGATTCGATTTCTGTGAGTGAATCAATCTTAAAATCTCAGTTTACTATTTATCTATGATTATATTAATGGGTCTGATGCACTGCACATTAGATAAATACGTACTAGAACATTCCTAATCACTTGCTCAAGCCGTATATCAACACATTTCTGTTGGATTTAAATGGACATTAAATATAAGAGAATCGATTTAAAAGAAGAAACAAATTCTCGAGTCAACTTAACTAGCGGTTAAGAACAATGAAGCCAAAAATGAATTGTCATCATGTTGTCAATTATGTTCTCTTTCAATATTCTACTTTGTGCTAGTTTTTTCTTTCGATTACGAGTAATCTCGAATGGAATAGCTTTCTATTGAACATACGAATAATAAGACATGCATTTGTTGATAGTATTACTCGTGAAACTCTGGACTAGCTGTCGAAAACCAATGTCAAAATCGAACAACATCCTCCTTCTAATGGGTAAAACTGGCATCGTAAACCACTACAGAATAGCATATTAGTGTATCTATTGTCACTGCATATTGCAGCAATACATCGGTTTGACTTGTCGCTGGCCATTGATTATTATTTGTTTTACTATTTTTCTACTTTTACCGCTGAAAGACTTATGATTTAGTAAAGGTTCTGTTTTCTTCAATCTAAATGTATGAAAAGCTTAGATGTTCGATAAATTTTTGTTCGTCGAAATGTTCATGCATCCTTGATTTTCTATGGGTAGGTTTTATTTGCCGTTGATCTTCTCAAACAAACTTTTATATAAAAAGACAGACATAAAATCCTTGAATATTAATGTTCCCGTATTATCATGAGTTGGCAAGATAGTTCTTTTATAAGAATGTGTATTAAACAATTTCTAATGGATCTCGATCACGTTCTGAGATTAATAATTTAACTTGATTTGAATCCCATATCTGCTCGAAATGCTTTTTAATAACATTTAAAAATCCTCTTTCAGTATTTGTGTGATCGCATAAGATAACGGTTGTACCACGATGTACAGCATCTAGTACAGCATGATGTGTAAGTTCACCTGTCAGTTGAATATCAACATTTCGTGCTTTAGAAAATACACTTGCACCAGAACCAGCGCAAACAGCGACTGTTTTTATTGGAGAATCTATTGTTTTATTGTTTGCTAATGCAAGACGAATATACTTAAGACCGGTTAACGTTTTAACATTTTCAACTACTTCACGAATTGTTCGAGAATTATTCAATTCAATTAACCGGCCATATCCTTGACGAGAATCTAAAGGCTTAAACAAAACGAAGCAGAATTTTTATTTTAAAAGTAAAAACAAAATATTTTCATTACTTTTTGAACATCAACAATTTGAATTGTTTTACTTATATCTTCTTCAGGACGATACAAATCTATTATTGAACTTGCAGCTCGTGGTGAACATGAAATAGATAATTGAATTGCTGGTCCATTTGGTGTATTACAACTAGAGAAATTAAAATCAATGTCCTATATGATATAAAAAAAACGAATTTTACGATATTTCATTGATAATAGCGGCACCATTTATATTCTTCATGAAATTAATATCATGCTCTTTGGGAACAGTTATTGTTAATAATTGTTGACTGTGTGATGGTGTATCATTTGTTTTTATTTGTTCAATAGGACGCGCCGTATAATCTTGCTTGTCTGTAAAATTCAAAAACGAAAACGTTCAGCAATCTGATTTCATCGATTATTATCACGTCAAATATTTTCGACTGATCAATCAGATATGATTTCAGTGAATCATAAAGAATGAAAGTGTCATTATTATCTCAATCTCTTCTCCAATGTTTAATAATTTGGACTGAAACTTTTTATTCCAACTATTGTGTTATTCACTCAATGATCTTTAATTTTTAACATTTATCAAGCAGTTAGTAATGTAAGATCTTCAGCTATATTTTTCTCAGTATTATTTTGTAAAACAGAATCAAAGTTTTATAAGAACGGTATCCGACCACAACCGATAGTTTTTAAGGTCATTCGAACTATTGATACATATTGAGAATCTTCAAACGAATGATTTTCTCTCAGTTAACTAAATTTTCATATTCTAGACTAACGACCAATGAGAATCATTAAACATCAATGTAAGTCAATTGATTTATGTAGAAGATAGCTTTTGAGTTCATAACTGTAGAACAAACTTCGATATGAAAGTTAATTAAACCAGCGAACATTTAAGGAAGTCTTCAAAATATTTTGTTATGTTCTATCTGTAACTAATTAGATATGCTTATGAAGACCCTAATGTTTCATATGAATATTTCTATTCTGAAATATGACTTTTCTATTTATCACGATGTTATATTATATTGTTCATACTTGTCAACACGGATTGACATTATTTATTTTTTTAGAAGGCGAATGAAAAAAGGGATGGCGGTTTTTTACTAATTTATTTTCACTTAGAAGTATTTCTCTGTTGGATTCCAATTGGCGGTTCGAAATTTAGCTGTCTTAGTGTTGCTGAACACTAACATAGTATAATGATTAAGAACACTGTAATAATGCAGCGGTTCGATCATAGTAAGTTAACAACTTGAAACCTTTTCAGAACATCAATAAACATTCTAGGGCCTTTATGACGCATTTAGTCTGCTATTAAATATGACGTCACAGTTAGAAGAGTTCGCTGATGAAATGATGAATAAATTTTTCTCATGAATAGAAGTCAATAAATTTTCAGTGCAAATAAAAAAACTATTTTACTCATGGAAATATTTCAAATCTCTAATTTTACACTGATATCAACGAGTTTTAGTTTGCTTCGATGTATAGAAATGTTTTACCTGTTCCAAATGCTGATATGAGCCATTGGTTAATGCCATTATCAACTGCATCCCATGATGTATGTGGCGCATAAACAGTAATTCCATGACGTATACATTTAAGTATAATTCTTTCTTTCCAATTGTTTTGTGTTAAACGTTTTAAAGGACTAAAAATAGGCGGATGATAACTAACAATTAGCTTGGCTTGTCGTTCAATAGCCTCGTCTAACACTGGTTCAGTTAGATCATTTGTAAATAAAATTGTTTCTATTAATGGATTATCATTATTAGGTTCAACAAGTACACCAACATTGTCCCATGATTGATCGGCAAGATAAAGTGGTGCATAGTTTTTAAATTGCGAAATAATTGTATTTAATTCAATACCTGACATAGTTGATGAATATTTTTTTGTCAAAACTGATATCAACCTGAGTGATTTATTGAATAGAAGAGATGCAAACATAAACAAGAGACAAAATAATCTAGAAAAGCAAAGAAAACAAAGAACAATAGGCACATAGATTAGAAAGGGGATTTTTGTGAACTAGATTCTTCTTCGTAATCATGATCTTCTAAAAAACTTTCACGTTTATGACTATTTTTTCTTGATTGTTTCGGTGATGAAAGTGATTTTATTGATAATGTGATACCAGCTTGACTGAATGCATCTTTTGTTTTGGATGATAAATGTCGGACATATTTTGACGAATACTCCGCCATTAATTTTGTAAATTCATCTAATCGATTGGTTTTTTCATATGCTCGAAATAGACTATAAAATAGAACATCTATCGATAACTGTCGGGTACATGATGGATATTGTTCAATGTAGTCAATGAAATTAATCAATGATATTGCATTTGTATCAAAAACGTGATCAGTTTCATAGATATCATTTGTTGATGAATAATTCATTGGTGTTGATTCATCATCATTATTTTGATTATCTGATGGAAAATAAAATAATTCTCGAACATATTTTTGGCAATGTTCTTCAAATGTTGAACGACTTATATTTTGACAGACTCTATATGCTTCAGATAAACGACGTTCGTGAATTAAAGCAAATGCTAATTGCTCATATGCATAGGTACGAGAACGAAATTTTCCTACTCTGATCAATACCTAATAAATAAAAAAGATTATTATTATATTTACATTCATTATTATTCTTTTTTTCTTTCAATCCTTTGAAAGTTGAGATGAAGTAACTACAAGTCTCGTCACCAGACGTGAACGCATTCTGCAAGATGTATAGTTGATACTTTTAAAGTTCTGGAAGAAGCTGGAACATAGAAAACTAAAGTGATATTAATTTAATTTAACATGGATCTACGTGTTATTACATTTGCGTGTCATAGTATATTTCGCTAGGCGAAAATAGAACTTAAGAAAGAAGAAAAAAAAGTTCTAACGAATTGTATAGATAGAAGAAGTCTAGAATAATTTTAAAAAACTTTCGGTGTTACTCCGGTGAGATTACATCTTGACATCTTTTATCGAACTAAATTCAACTAGAAGAGGATCCAAATACATCTGGCATAGTTAAAAAAACAACAATTTTCATACAAACGTAGAGAAACTTCTTTATTGGCTGCAGGTGCTCATCTCATCATTTCGATTGACCATAGTGTGATCTTAGAACAGCGGTAGAAAATACTGTCAGCTACACAAATGCTGCTCTAGATTCGTTAAAGATAGTTCACTCTAACAAGGAAACTTGAATATAGAATTATTGTTGGTATCTATTCAAAATTATGCATGCAATTGTAAAATTACACATTTCAATAGATCTTTATACATGATAAACCAACAGTATATCGTTTATTCTATAAAGACTCACTTCTTAACAACTTGCGTGATAATTTGATAGAGACGCGAAAATTGACTTAAAAAAACACAATTCCTTCTTTTCGTTAGCTTTGTTCTATTATGAAACTTATTGACATAATATTAACGAACCGTTTTGAATTAAATATAATATTATATTGTAACTTCAATGAGTATAAATCTAAAATTTTAATTTAACTCAACAAAAGTTTTTACCTGTTTAAGTTCTTCTGTACAATCATCACGAAGTAATTTTCTTATAATTGGAAACACTCCAACAAGATTATTCCATTGAACGAGAATATGTTTAATCGTTTCAAATGCAGGTAATGGTCCATTGTCTCGATATGATTTTCGAACAATTAATGAAAGTACAATTGATGATGGATCGACATATTTATTTTTTAATAATTTATTAACAAGAGATTGAAATTGCTCGAAATTATTAAATGAATATGAATCTAATAATAAATCTCGTACACGACGATACATATAATTTGGTACAATATCATAACCTCCTAACGAATCAATTAATTCAATTGCTTTATCGAATTTATTTTTACGTATAAGTAAACGTATAACGCTAACACATTTATGTGGATCTAATTTAAATTTTGGATCAATTTGATCTGATAAACTAATGTAATGAATCACCTTATCAAGATTAAGTTCAACTCTTGAATCTTAATAGTGTACAAAAAGAAAAAGGCGCACAACGTGTTCTTTCAATTCAAACAAAACGAAAGATTTAACTTACAATAATCAACTAAAATAGCAATAAGACCTAATGATGGAAACCCTGTTGTTTTTGTTTTATCAAAATAAATTGATTCTAATTGAGATATACGTTTCACATACGATTCTCTCACTGGTGTTGTCATTGTACGCTCGCTATCCAAACATTCGGTGCAATATTTTGTTAGTAATTTACTTGTTATTCCGCTTGTATTCATTTTTTTACGCTGTAATTCTATTAAATGATCTTCAAGTTCACGAATTGTCCAGTTTCGTGTAGATTTTGTTGATTTGATATAAATATCACTACTATCATCGACTAAAGATTGATTATCCGATGAACAGAGGGTTGAAATTCTAAGAGATTTTTGTTGATCTTGTTTTAAACTTTTTACTAGTCGATCGTTCACTTCATTGGATGATTTTATACCTGTTAAATATAGAAAAACGAACATTAAATTGCATTGAGAAAAGAAAGATCATTTTAATAAAATTTAATCTTAGAACATCTATGCTAAAGTGGAAAATCGAATTCATTATTGCAATATTTTGGGATCTTAAATTCAGTCATTCAATTACTAACCTCAAATGTTTTAATATTCACAGTACCCTACAGGCAACATAGCTCTCTCGATTGTATTGGCACACAAAATAAATTTACGAAACTTTACTGAGATATTTGAAAGCTTGTACAATAAAATTTATGAACAATTAACAAAATAGAAAGAATAAACCAGCGCACCTGTGATAAACAATTCTAGGTAAATCGAATTTTACATTCTAACATCACAGACTTTATACGATGCACTATTCCGTGAAATTTATTTTTTATAAAGAATTGAATAAAGAATCTTTTCGAAAAACCAAAAAGATCAATAAGATCAGTATATTTAACATAGAACAAGATATTAAGATTAGCATTGCTGCGGATAGCAAAAAGAGCATCACTTTTCAATAAATATTCGTGAATATGTAGTAACATTTATGAAACAATGTTTTTACGTTACCTAATTCTTTATAGACTTTTTCTCGAACTCCATTAGTTAATGGAATTGTTCCTGATCGTTGTTCAAATATTTTCAAAATTTTTTTTAATAAATCCACACTTTGTCTATGATCTTTTTCTAAAAACCAGTTAACAATAAATATTAATACACAATCATTTAATGAAATAATATCATTTTGATTTTTGATAAAACGTTTATTAATTGTATCAATAAAATCAATAATATCTTTTAAATGATTAAATATTTCATTATAGTCTTTATTTTCATTATCAGTGTATAATTGATTAATTAACGATTGCATTGCTTGCATTGTTTGTTCACGTATAACTGGTGTATATTCAAAACGGACATTTTTATTTATATTCAGAAATACTTTTAAAGAATTCAGTAAATCCATATTGATTCGTTTCAATGTTAGAGAATAAAGGTTCAACCAATAATTATTAAAAGGTATATTTACTTTTTTAAATATTATGTCAATATCTGATGGCTTTAAATGACTTCCATCATAGAAAAATTCAACTAAATAATCAATTATTTCATTATCGTAATTGATTGAAAAATTTTTTTGTAAATAATCAAGTAGTTCACGTGTTTGATTAGCCATTTCTTTTGGATTATTTATATATATACGACGAAATTTAACTAAAAGTGGGCGCATATAATGCTGACGATATTCAAATCCTTGTTCGCGCATCGTATCGTAGATTGAATAAATGTACGGTAAAGGAATAAAATTTTGATATGCTTGATAAAGTAGTTGATGAATTGAAAGCCACCGATCCTTTTTTTCTGTAAAACTTTCAGCTCGTTTTAGTATATATTGATGAAAATTATTTAATTGTTCTTCACTGACAGATTCAGATTCACATTGATAGTTAATAGAAGCTAAATTAAATGAATCGATAGAGGATTCAAATGAGTAAACAGAAAGGAATACTAAGATACAGTGCTGTGAAACGTGTGAATTTTCAAATAGTCTGAATGAATATGAAAAATAAACGGTTGAGAATACGTAACAGCTCACAAGTCACAGCGACACCCATAACGATTTCTTAGATTATGAAGAGAAAAAAAGTAGAAATGAGCTTACCTTCAAGATTATTATTGATATCATCAAGTGTTAAAGCAGAAAATGGGCGGAAATGATGTGTTGGTAAACGAATTTTTAATAGATTTAACATAGTTAAATTAATCACATCGAAATGAAGAGTTTCATCACGTTTTGGAAACGAATCAATCAGTAGGAAAGCGTAATCGTCGAGTTTAGCATCTAATAATTCTGTTGCACAGAGAATATATTGAACCTACAAGATAAAAAATATAAAATAATTTGATTTTTGAATCAGATAACTTTCAAAGCGAAAGAAGATTCTGATTTTAGTTTGACTTAATTCCGTTATTTGAAAACGTGCCTCTGCTAAATGAAATACTGCTAGTAATGTGAAAATAGAAAATTATTATGAGAGAGTAGGTGAATTCAAATGGTTAATGACATCAAGCTGGCATAGTATAACTTTCATTCAATATTAAACAACTCGTTTTAAGTCTTTATTATTAGAGAAGTTACTTTAA